TATAACTATGTTTTGCACCTGGTTTCACATGTTCATAGTGGGCAATTCCACACCAAAGTGGACATGACACCAAAAAATTCAAATACATGTGACTTAAACAAATTTGGCATCAAATGAAAGCTAAAAGTCTATATTTTCAAGATTTGAAGTCAGAATTTTATTTTTTATACATTTCAGTACCAAAAAATAGGATTATGTAATAATCCTGTTTTAATCCTAAAAATGTGATTAATAGTGATATGAAAGTATTCTACCAAAACACACACAAAAATATGTACTAATGCCATCAGTTTCTGTCATGAGAAAGTATTGGTCTTGAAAAACCGACTAAAACTCGTTTTTAACATTTTGCGTAATTTGCTTCGCTTCAGTGACTTCTAATATTTCAGCCTTCGAAAATGTCCTTCCGTTACCGAAAAAATACATATTTTTAATTTATTTTTAAAACTTGCAGTATGAATGCATTGAAAGTTATTGTGCAAAGCAAGTTTAGGTAGGCCTTCAATATGACATTATAACTGACACTGCTGTACTTCTCGTTTTTTAATTACAATTAATTAAATCACGTCCTTCCGTTACCAAATTGGTAACGGAAGGACGGTAACGGAAGGACAAATCATATTTTTATCAAATGTTACGACATTTGCGCTCATGTTTGAAAAATGAAAATCACTGCAAATACATACATGTATAATGAGCATTGAAAGGACATTCATGTGACCCACCTTCACAAAAGCGGGATAAGCAGGGCAAGGTGTTTATTACAACGGAAGGCACAGGCATGTACAACATGTACAATGTACATGTACATATATGCCGATGTACCAGTACTTGTACATGTATGGAGTCGTTGCAGAAAATCAAATCATAAAGTTGCTGCCATCAGCATTCATGGACAATAGAGAAAGATACGAATTCTGTGAAGCCATCCCAGAAGCAAATTAAGTCAAAAATGAGATGGCAGAAAGTACCGGTACTTTGGGGCACTTTCATTCAATTTACATGTGTAAGACATGTGAGGTGCAATCTTTGACAAATTATGCCCAAGTTAACAATTTCAGTTTGGATGTTTATAAATTAATTGTTACTATTCATTGTCATCATTGTCATTTGATTTCAAACATTGATTTTAGAGTTCAATTAAAAGCAACACCTAACTGAAGCCATCAGTTCTACCGGTAGATGTTTTACCTTAAATGTACACATGTAGGCTGGTCGCACCCCCCCCCCCCACCCTTTAGGTAAACCACTGAACCTACCGGTATTATTATTAAAAGTTGTTGGTGAACATGTAACCAATATACTTAAGTGCTCAAAAACTGTGTATTTAAACTTTTAAGGATTGAGGTGATGGGTTTGAAGTCCATTTCTGTAGTTGTCTTGTGTTCGTGAATTATGTGTTTTGGGTGGTTTTCGTTTTTCTTTTGTTATCATTAATTAGCAGGCTTCTATCTTTATCTCAATAGTTTCTTGGGTATAATTATTTATGCCAGGTCTGCATATTGTTGATTTCACATTCAGTTACACATTTCAGCAATTTGTTTCTCTTGTATAATTAGTGTAAATTCACATTTTGTTCATGCTATAATTGAGTAAACCTTTTGTCCTTCCGTTACCGTCCTTCCGTTACCAAATCATAATCTGCTTAAAACGTTGTAATTATATTACCGAAACACTTAAAGTCAAATGAAAGGCGGTATAGTATAGATAAAGCTTCAGGGATTCCATTTTTTACCTTTAAAATATAATTGCCCCACAAAATTCACAGAGTTTCCACAAAACGCGAGTAAGTTGGAAAACCCTTGTCCGTTTTACCGTCCTTCCGTTACCGACCTCATTAATATTCATAATTCATAAACGGGAGGCATTCATGCCCCCCAAAAGTGTGGAAAATGAAAGTAGCATTATAGCAATACAATTGTGACATTTGTTTGCTGTAACTATGAACAGTGTCTGTGATACACACATTTGAAATTTTGTTTAATGAGTGAAAACGTCCTTCCGTTACCGTGGAATTGCCCTATACGCTATCGTCATGTACATGTATCGCTTCAATCAGTTAAAGGTAATATACAAGATTTGCAAACATCAAAAAACAAAACTACAAGTGTACCAAATAATTATGAACCTTACTTGACTGTAAGTGAATAATAGTCTCAAGCATCCTGTGAAATCATATCACCTGGTGTGCTGTCATTTTCAAGAAAAGTGGAATTTCTGTATGAATTTCCAACAATGGTCGGCTGAATATCAAATACTTTTCAAAGACTGCTCCCAATTTACCAAATTTAGTTTAAAAGTCCAAAATTTGTTTGCAATCGGTTACACATCTGTGAATGGGTGCATGCCAGCTAGTCTGGTTCCCTGACCTGACAACTCCCCGACTTCTATAAATTGCTCTGTTTTGTCGGAAGTAGGGTCAGGGAACCAGGCAACAAGAACAGCCTTTTTTCTTGGTTTTACCAGCATCTATGAATACAAAACTTTAAACAGGTCAGTGTAACCACATTTTGCTTTAAAATACTAACCCCCAAATCCTTCCATTTCTGAAAATTATAGCAAAATCCAATGTTGTATGTTACCTTCAAGGGTCATAGCAATGTGTGCGTCTTGAATATGGGTGATGTTAGTATCATGCATGTCAGCTGTGATACTTCATTTGATACGCCAGATTACAAAATTTACATTTCTAATTTTAGCTTTCAATTTGCGAAAAAGTTTTTCAGATTATCTATTTTGTTTCTGTCTTCATCGGATGTTTACATTTTAAGGGTTACTGACAAATAATTTGTTAAGAATGCATCCCAAACAGCAGTCTTTTTATGCATTATCTCTTTAAGAAATTTCCAATTTTTATTGGACAGTTTTATTGGAGCGTATTCCCGCTGGACTTTTTCAGAGTAGAATCTCTTGGATTTTCCATACAAATCACAATATGAAGTCTGGTTGTGTGAATATCTGGAGAATTAATAAGGGAGTATACATGCTTGGCATGTTTTAAACAAGTATGTTTCCGGCAAGGAGCCTAGCGTTCCGCTCGGGCATTATCCGCGTCCAGGCCCCCAGCAAGTTTTAAACGTACTCGTTTTAATACATGAACTGGCCAAGCACATATTTATTCCCATTCATAAATATAACTAATGTACCTTTCAGTCAAGAAGTCAAAAAAAGTGCGTAGTGCCTAGTGCTAAAAAGCTCCTTTTATGGAGGTTGGCGTGTACTGCGCGATATGCTGCGGAACGCAGCCGTGTCTTACGGGCGTTTAAACCACCCACGCGACAGGCTCTCGTCCAATAGGAAAGGTCTGGTAAACTGTCTCGGGTATTTGTGAATGCCTGTTTTAAAGTTACCACAACTGCAATGTTTAAGAGACAGCCTGATAGTGGTCACAGAGGATTTCCGCATTGTGAATTTCATGGGAAAAACAGTGAAAATGTCCAGTAAAGTAACATCATCACTTGCATCGTCACATCAGCAGCTACCATAAACAAATTTGTTTTTCTTTTCTTTTTGTAGTTTTAAGATTGAAGCCGTGGGAGTTGAATTGGCCGTAATTGGTCAATATTGGTCAATAGTCTCATCTCCGTTCAATTGTTGTTATACCCTTCTAACTAATTTTTTGATATGCTTATCATAACACAAATGTACAGTTTGGTCAAAGGAATAAATATACTTACAAGGTGACCGCAATGCAAGACAGGCACATTGACATGCGCAGCTAATAAGCATTTTTAACATTGCAATTTACGTATGTCTGAGCGGGATCAACTTAAGTACAGGAATGTTCACAGCCAGTCAAAGAAACTTTATGTTAAGTTATGGCACCCAAAAAATCTAATGTGAAAATTGCTTGTACGTGTACATGTACATGCACAACATATCTATGCGCAACACAACAATTCAACAGTACATGCATTGTACATGCACAATGAACTACCAGTAAACTTTCATACATGTACATGTCAAAATTATTCTTTATTGCATACCGCATAAAAGGAACCAAAATAGCTTTGGAAGCAATTTACGTATGTCTGAGCGGGATCAACTTAAGTACAGGAATGTTCACAGCCAGTCAAAGAAACTTTATGTTAAGTTATGGCACCCAAAAAATCTAATGTGAAAATTGCTTGTACGTGTACATGTACATGCACAACATATCTATGCGGGATCAACTTAAGTACAGGAATGTTTTTTGGAAGCCATGCAAACTGCCCTCTATAGTCAAGCCTTCACTACGAACCTTACTTTGTATCTACAGCAGCAATATACATGGAATACACTGCCGGGCTAGGTCTAGCCTTTAGTCAAGTCCCACGCGCTTACCCGGACATGTGACGCACCCCAGATGCTGACATGTAAAAAGACTAGCACGAGCGGCAAAGCCGCGAGGGCCTTTAACATCTCGTGGAGAACGCTTATGTTTTTCTTTAGTTTTGTCTACCGATTTGGTAGACATGCATAATGCATTACCCGTTGTGAATTGACCAATGAAAATGCAGAATTACTAACGTAAATCAGCCGTCGTCTGGCGCCAGACAGCACGCGCGCCATGGCGCGGGTGCTGTTGCTGGTAACCGCAAACCACTGTTAGATGATTGGTTTATAATGCTTGATTTATATAACGTGAATAAATGAATAAGTGATTAGTTCCACGAGATAGTAAAGGCCCTCGCGGCTTCGCCACTCGTGCTAGTCTTTTTACGTGCCAGCATCCGGGGTGCGTTACGTGTCCGGATCGTCCGGGTATAGGCGCGTGGGACTTGACTGAAGGCTAGACTAGGTCAGATGGTAACGTGCTATGCCAGCAGAACACTTTCCTAGCTAGTGCATAAAAAAAACCATGCCAGTGACGGTGCACATGTAACCCACAAATGCTCTGATACAAGACTTGAAACTTAAGAGATACATCAACACTACACTGTCACACACATGGAAGGTTAAAAGGGAGGTTAAAACTCCATGAGTGAATGGATGATGGAGTGGGTGGACACAAATGTTACCTGACTTATGCTTAGATTTGGAGACATAATGATTAGCTGAGGTGCTTCCTTCCTTGCTAAAGATATCCAGGTTAAGGCCATTGGCTGCGTTGGTGCATAGGAGGTCAACGGCCCAACAAAGAAAACACAAATTAGTGACTAGTGCCCAACATAAATGTAAATGGATACCCAGCCTCAGACTACCCGTTCCGAGGTTACACCTTAATAAAATATGCAAACGTACACAATGGTTTTCAGTCCACTGCAATGCGAGTTTCACTTCGTTCACATTAGCCAACCATAGATTGGATCCGATTTCATGGCTCTGCTACAAGGGTTTTTACAAATGAAGAATAGATACATTCATATGGCCTAGCCAACTACACACTTGGCCAACAACATGTGCACCTGTCCACTGCGAAGGAACACGCAAGGACATCATGATCCAAACTTTTGGTTGAAAGAGTATTCACAGTGCAATTTTTTTTTCTCTCTCCAGTTTTCCATAACTACACAAAGATGAAGGACTGTTCCTCTTCATTTTGTGACAAATAACTCGAACCCGAAAATGCATCTACATCTACAAGTACCTGTAAACCTGTTTTTCAGGGAGTGAGAAACCTAGTGTGGACCTGGTTTAGGCCACAGAGGGTTCACACAACCCGCATCGTGGGGACCTGTTTTGTTTTCAGGTCCACATAAAGATGGCAAGGTTGGCACAACTCAGTGTGCACAATTTTGGAATCCTTTGCCATTTCAAACCATGTTTTGTGTACATACCAAGGGTAAACTCGGACTGCGTAGTCTAAAAAAAAAAAAAAATGAAATATCCCCTAACTCACTCACAACAGTTATAATCAATTATTGCCAAACAAACACTCTGACAAACCAACAACTCAAACCCACCATCCCAACAGAACATCAAGCAAATTTGGACACACCAAACACCATGTTTATCTACTGTTTCACACCTGTAATTTTTGAATTAGCACAGTTGTGATACAAAAAGCTATTTTATTTTACAATGTTCTTTAAAGGTAGAGTAGATCATTTGCAGCTATCTAAGAAGTAACTGAAAAAATTATTGTTTAAAAGCATACTTCGTTTAAAGATAGTAACGGCACTAAACTCCCTGTGAAATTATTCTTTCTGGCATGCTGTCATTTTGAAGAAAACAATCAAAGAAGGCCATTTCCAAAGATGAGTCAAGTGACGCATTTTTGGAAATTTCCAACGTTCGTCAGTTCGGTGTACGGCATCGCGTAGCTGCAATCGGCTGAATGAGAACTTGTCCCGAACGCTGAATTCGGGCGCAATTCAAAACATGACTCGGCAACTTTTGAATTGAAACAGAGATCCTAGAATATTATTTTCTCCGAACATAACAGCATTCACAGAGCTAAAACTTCATCAGGTTAGTTGTTAAGCACCCGTCTTTAGATTTTGAGCACTTTTGTTGCTTCTAATGAAAAAAATACACAAATGACAAATGATCTACCCTTCCTTTAAAGCATGCAAAGGAAGCAGCAATGATGTGGTTAGCTGCAGTGTCAGAAGTTTAAGGGTTAATATGCAAAAAAGCCACTTAATTTTTTTTAGAAATATATAGTGTTTGCTTTAGTGTGTTTAACTATCTCCATCCTCACGTACAGATGAATAGAAACTTATGCGAATACAACAGTGATTCTTCTAGTATGACCCTTGTGATTAGTTTGAGTAAAGCTAGATTACTTTTAACGTGCGTTTAAAGTTGTGAGTTTTGGTTAAGCACTGGTGAGATGCAGCTATCTGGTCTAGTTCCTCTAGCAATGAACATAGCACAGAAACTGAAGTACCTCCATGGCACCTGTCTACTTTCCATGGCGATTCAGTATTGCTTCTTGGATTTGTACAGTAAAACAAAAAATAGCTCCAGCATGATTACAAAGGAAAGCCCGAACTGGGGAGTATGGGGAAGTTGGAGTGCTTTTTGGGGGGGAAGGGGGATAAAATCCCTGCTCTTTTGATGTGAACTTACCATCCAATGGGTTAGTGAGCCCGCTATTGCTCCAGTCAAATTCAACTTTAGGGACCGCATCCTGAAACAAGGGGATGTGAGAAGCCCGTCAGACAATTATCAAAGGTTAACCAGGGAAAAAAAAGTTCTACAAGTTGGGACTTGGGATTCCAAAATTTCGACATGTTTCAACTTATAGAAATTAACCCCCTAGATTGTAAAACTGGCCCTTAACCAGTTCACGCCGGGATTATTTTGACATGACCGGACCCAGGCGCGGGATTGTTTTTTCACAAACCTCGATGCCAGATGGATTCAGGCCATCATCTGCGGGTAGCACACCCTGATATTTCCGGCCTCACATGCTGCAAGCGGGCCGCAGACAGATATTTCTGGCCTCAATCGTAGCGTGTATATCCGTCATCCATTTCCGAATACCGCAAATCCTTTGCTTGTATACACATCATCCGACATGAACTGGTTAACACGGCACACATTTGATTATATTCCTCTGATACAAAGAGTAATACATGTATTTCTACCCAAAGTTGCAAAGAAAGTGAAATTCTGGCAAGTTTCGAAATATTCCCGGTCATAAACCTTTAGTCTGTGGGCCCGTTACAAAGTTATGAGTGCAAAAATGCCATCTGACACTTTAACATAGGAATGATCAGTACACACAAAATTTATAAGACAACAAAATCCAAAATTACCAAGAAATAAGCAATAGGCCATGATTGAAAAAACAAATATTCTAAATATTTTGCCAACTCTCGTTTTCATTTTCAGAACCAAATGTTACAGCTGACCAACGCGTGCAATTACATGTATACATCAAGAGACTTTTTTTTATACCAGTACTAAACTGAGGAAATATTTGAAATTAGACAAAAACTGACAAAAGACACGAATCATTCCACAGTAAAGGGGGTGCAAAAGTGGGACATGGGATTGGGAAATGAAGCGGGATAATAATATTAAGTTGCTGGTCCTCTTTTACACAAGGACATTCCCATCCCATTGCTCATCAATTATTTACAACTTTCCAGGCAGATTTAACAAGATATACATGCTCAGGATGTTACGTAGATAACACGGACAGAAAGTTTGTTAATATTGATAGAAAGTTAGAGGAACAATTGATGTATTCATCCAAATATTGTGCCTTTTCATTCTCATCCCAGTGGTAAAAATAAATCAGCTTATTGCATGCTTTGAAAGAAAAGTACCCGGATGACTGCAATAACATTATTATTGGACTGAAATAACATTATTATTGCAGTCATCCGTGCATTTTCGCTGGTTCCCGCACGATCAAGAGCACAGAAAGTCACAGTTGTCAACCACTCAACAGAGCGTAGCGCGCGCGCACCGTGTCAAACACGGAGGATGCTGCGCACATGCAGTGCGCATGCAGCGCGCAAAAGGCCAGGTATACACGCACTTTTGTCAACAATTACACCGGCAGCTTCAATAGTTTGACAAAAAAGATGAAATGAAGACAGTGTCTTGAATTGTATTTCTTGCGGATCAAGTCAGTCTGATATAAATAATAATAATACTATTGGATCGCTTTTTTCGGTGGATACAAGAATATATTGCACTCGCTATGACAATATTGCACTCGTCTTCGACTCGTGCAATATTGTCATAGCTCGTGCAATATATTCTTGTGACCACCTCAAAGCCATCCAATATATAAATATGTCACAAGATTTCTGTGCAAGCTACGTATGTTACATACAAATATTGCAGAGATCAAGAAAATTGTGTTTATTTCGGCTGTTAGCAATCCTATGGGTTATGGTTATAAATGAGATAACATTTGGGTAAATTCATGCACATGGTAATTAATGTCCTCTCAATTTATCCCGAAAACTCTGTCCGTGCTACCGGTACTTGCGTAATGATTTACAACAATGGCTGTCATCTATATTTTCTTGTACGCATGATCACTAAAGGGCGCCCTCAAGTCAACCTTGCGATGACACAGATCAGTCGGTGACTAATTTTTCAGGATCTAGCTTTGCCTGAGCTACGACCATCGGGAACAGTCTCTGATTTTGTGCGACCTGAGTGTAACTGCGACGATATTAAGACAATCGGCATCAGTCGGCGCTCAATAAAATCAACAGTTGCAAGAGTAGAAACATTTCAACTTCTGCGACGTGTTCCCGACAGGCAGGAGTCAATCGCAGTCGTTTAGCCAATCAGCGTGCGGCAAAAACGGCTGAATGAACAGCTGGTGTGGCCGTGGAATGTCGCTTGATTGTTAGCAATACGCTTTCGCCATTCTTAAAGAAGTCACATACATGACTCTCTATGCCGTAGAATCGTTGTCGCGTAGTAGGTGACATGAGCATCGTTACGATTATTTTGCGTCGATATGCCGCTTGTTCCACGATTTCTCAGGTTTGTGAAGCATTAATTTTCTGCTTGATGCTGATGGTTCCGTCGTGGCGCAGGCAATGAGACGACCGGAGGGCACGTTTAGGCCTCACGAATGAACAGGGAAAAAATTGAACAAAATATCTTGCTTTGTTTTACCTTCAGTGTCCCTCTCTCAAACCCCAAATTTGCAGTCAATTGTACCCCGTTAGTGTGGAAAGACACACACTTCAGTTTAGGCATTGGTGGGTTTTTTTTTCAGGAGAAAGGAGGGATGTACAGGGCGAGTAAAAGCGGCCAAACCCCCCAAAAATATATTTCATTTTTAAAAAAATATGTAGCACCAAACATACAATGACTGAAAAGCCAATTTTATAAGCTCTTTTTAGATGAAAAAAAATACTGAAATTGCTCAATCCGTTCAAAGAATATCACCATTTAAACGCAATGACCCTAAAACCTCTTTCGTCCAAAAAAAGCAGTTTAGTGTGCATGCTGACTGTTTGGAACAACAAAGAAAATGACACAGAATACTTGTTTCAACAACTGTCCACAACTGTAGTACACAATATCTTTATTAACAACCCTGGTTAGGCAAACAATATGATTTATAAAATCCACTTTTTTTTTTTAAAGATGGGCCTTCAAAAGGACTTTGTTGAATATTTTTAACTTTTTTAACTTGAGGTTTTATCGCTGGTGATGTTTGAAGACAATTGTGACGACAATTTTGGAAATCGCATTTTTGGACGAAAGAGGTTTTTGGGTCATTGTGTTTAAAAGGTGATATTCTTTGAACGGATTGAGCAATTTCAGTAATTTTTTTCATATAAAAGTAGCTTATGAAATTGGCTTTCCAGTCATTATTATGTTTGGTGCTATATATTTTTTGAAATACGAAATATAATTTTTGGGGTTTGGGTTCCACTTTTTTTTACTCACCCTGTATAAAATAGGAGGAACTAAGCCACAAGGCAGACAGAAGACTGAGAGATTATGTTTATCAATATTAATTTCAATTGGAATGGGTGGAATGACGAGCACTGGAGATGGGAATGAATGAGGTACTGGAAGAGAATGTACTTCCATTAATAAGTAATTGAGCAGGGAAATAGAAGAATATGAATTTTAATAATACATGTTTGTCATTACAGTGTATTCAATGCTGTCTGAAACCTGAGAAAGAAAAAACAAGCTTGCGAGGATTGGACTCGAAGGTCATATACAACATTTGCAAACATCATAAAACAAAACTACTACAAAATAAAATAAAAAATTTTTGTATCAATTTCCGACGAAGGTCAGCTGACCATCATTGGAAAAAAACTGACTTTTTTTTCTCAAATACTGCCCTAATTTACCAAATTTAGTCACATGTACCAGTAGTCCACATTTTGTTTGCAAATCGGTTGCACATCCGTGAACGGTTCCAAGCCAGCTAGTCTAGTTCCCTGATCTGACAATTCCCAGACATGCTCTGTTTTGTCTGAAGTAGGGACAGGGAACCAGACTACGGGAACAGCATTTTTTTGCTTGGTTTTTCCAGCATCTATGAGCACAAAACTTTGATTAGGCCAGTGAAACAATAATTTACTATAAATACTAATACTCAAATCCATCCATTTCTGAAAATTACAGCAAAAGCAAATGTTGTATATTACCTTTTCAATCACAATCTCAAGCTTTCTAGAGTAGACTAGTGGTGTGCATTTACGGGTAGTACAGGAACCGGGTACGCTATTGAAGTAAAATGCGGGTACCCGGGTACCCGTAAAAGAAACCCAACCCCAAAATTTGAATCTCTGAAGTTGCTGTCCAGATTATTCATAGCGTCATCTGTCGTGCGTTAAATGCACAGACATGTAAATGTCGAGTCTGTTTTAGCTTTCCATGTACCGCAGCCTGGTTTTCATTTTGAAAACCTTTCTTTTGCATTATCTAAAAAGTTATTAAGTAATTTGTAAAGTTGGTTACGGGTACCCGATCCCATAATCTGGAACTCCTGACATCAGTAATCAGGGACTCGTGTATCTGTTCCGATGCATACCCCTGGAGTAGACATGTTAAAAAAACATCTTGTTTCGAGGTAACAAATGCTATGATTAGGCCTTTTCGCACTATTGTCTCCCCTACCCATGTTGAATTTAACATGGGCCCACTGTATGCAGAACCGCGTCCCATCGAACATGGGTAGGCAAGGCGTACCGTTCACATATATCGGATTGTACTATCGGAAAAACTATTTTTAAAAGACTGTGTCCCAGATCAACTGTTTGTGGTTAGTTGGATAATTAAAATGACACATCGGACAGGTACATGTACCATTCCAATGCCACTTGCCTGATGGACAAGTGGTAAAAAAGTACAGGTTGAGGACAGGGGCCAATTTCAGGCAGCTGTTCAGCAGCAAATATTCCTTAGCATAGAAAATATTCCTTAGAAATTGTAAAATAAAAGTGTTTTTAAGGAAAAACAATTGGCATCTTTCATTTTCACGACAACAAAATTCAAAATGTTAAAGGCTTTTTTTAAACTCAGTATTTTAATTTTTGACATACATGTACTACTGATACATGTATGTCAATAAAATGCAAACTTTAAACGGCCATAACTTGTCAACGGAATGTCTGCTCGATGTGCAACAAAGGGTATTGTAAGGAGAATTTTAATCTCTTTGCTAATACCCGCAAACCCTCCTTTCGACCTCTGCCCAGTTCTGTCTCATTTTGCCAGAATGCCTCAAATCTTCTGCCGCCTGAGCAAAAGTTTTGCCTCCAATTTCACAGTAAGTGAAATTTCATCAAGCTGTAAACATTTCATTTCATAAACCTTGAATTTACCTACATGAACCTGTCAAAACGTTGAGAGAAATTTAACTTTTGCGCAATTTTCCAAGGCACGGGAACTCTTTTCAAATGAGCCCAAAAAAACAGGCACGTACATGTAGTTGGATACGAGAGTGGAGATAAAAGGGTTTAGAGAAATTTGTCATATTTAAAGACATTCTTAAATGTTCACTTGGGGATTTCTGAGATCCGTTCAAGTGTGCCACTTTAGGAAACACTCGGCCGATTTCCAGACGCCAGAGTTTTAGAAATGTCAGACTAAATTTCACGACACTTGTTCACAAGGGTTCAACAGCAAGCGTTATTAAAGGGAATATACAACATTTGCGAACATCAAAAACAAAACTACCGGTACCACATGATTAAAAAATACCTTACTGGACTGTTAGTGAATAACAGTCTACAGCATCCTGAAAAATCATGGCTATAATTTTCAAGAAAAGTGGCATTGTTGTATCAATTTCCAACGTTGGTCGGCCAACCAGCTTTGGGAAAAAAACCCGGCTTTTTTCAAACACTGCCCACAGTTTACCATATTTAGTTAATCTGCGTTTTGTTTGCAATCAATTACATGCCTATGAATGGGTACAAGCCAGCTAGACTGGTTCCCTGACCTTACAATTTCCTGATGTCTATAAATTGCTCCATGTCATCTGAAGTGGGGTCGGAGAACTGGACTTCAAGAAAACGATTTATATTTTGGGGTTTTTTTCCAGCGTCTATGAACACAAAACTTCAAACAAGTTGTGTAACAATATTCATGTAATACTAAGCCCCCAAATCCACCCATGTCTGAAAAATTACAGCAAAAGCAAATGTTGTATATTCCCTTGTAGGTAATAGTGCCAGTATTTAAATGCATGAATTTGAAGCGTGCCAACAAAGAAGTTTGGCAGCACTGCATGAGGAAAGTCCGGGGGGGGGGGGGGGGGGGAAGGGGTGGGGTTGGACGTTGAAGTGCGCTCAAGTTTAAGGGACTGCACTATTTACCTGTGGTGTGCCAGCAGGGGTGGATCCCGGCTCCCCCTCGGGGCTCTCCTCTACCAGACCGCTGCCTGAGGAGGCCGGCCTCTCCTGCTTCTCCCCGGGCTTGCTGGGCATCAACATGCCTAGGTTGGGTGCAAAGATGGGCATCCCGGTCTTCTTAGAGGCCAGCTGTCAACAAGCAGAGAAAACAGGTGATAAGCTGGCTATATATATTTGACGGGGGACTTGGGTCTATCTGGGCCCAATGCCATGGCTATGCTTACCATTAGCGAACAACCCCACTTACTACAGCAGAAACTTCCCTGCTTACGGTTAGCATATTTCACGGGTTTGCGAGTAAGTTTGGCTTATGCGCATGCGTACATCCCGTAAGGATTCTGCACTTACACATATTGCAGGGTTAGCACAGATTTGTTATTGCTATCCCTGTACGCACAGAACGGTGTGGTGATCATAAGTGCAGAATTCTGTGGTAAGCAGAGCCATAAACTTGGGCCTAGGTGTTTGCACAGCTAAGTGCAGCAAGATAGGCGATTCTAACAATTCAGACTAGGTTTCAAAAATTGAGCACTCACCAAGTCATGGGTGTAGAGGTATATGTACTCAAGTTGAATACTAGTATGTCATACTTTAAAAGGGGATAAAGTTCAAAATTCCTTATCCCAAGATGTTGGCTGAGGTGCCGGTACAGCTACAGTGAAAAGCCAACGCCGGGAGGGCTACGTTGCTGAAATGAACCATGTTGTATTCAGTACAACCCTCACAAGTACAATCTACAATGTATGCCTACCGGTATTTCCATTTTATCTCTAAATCCCGGTTCATACTCTGCGCGAAAGCAAAAGCGAACACGAATTTGCGATGTCATGGCAAGTATTCGTGCTGCGAATTCGTAAAAGTTGAACATATTTCAACTCGGGCGAATTTCGTAGCGAATGTTTTATGACGTCAAATTCGCTTCGCATTCACATTCGCGTGAAGTATGAACCAGGCTATACAGTTGTTTTAAAAGTTTCAGCGGTTTCTTAAAACCCTTTTCCCATAAGGTATTGGCAACATCAACTGCCAAGATGACAGATTAACATGTGCATGACATATATGTAACTGTAATATGTCTAGCAAATATACACAAAGTTATCTAAAAAGAGACACTGAAAATCGACATGTACCTCATGTTGCCAAGTCTTTTGATGGCTCATATATCCCGAACGTTGATGCTAATGTACAGTTAAAATCGCCATACACCAAGAACACCCCACACATCCAAAATAAACACTGTACCAGACGCCGACCCAATGTGGGGGGGGGGGGGAAGTTACCCAGCTTTGCTAATCGCATTAGGAAGAGGAGGACTGTACATGTATAAGGACATAAACTGCACTCTCTCTTTCGCTGTTGGCACAATAATAATAATCATAATCAGATTTGACAGGGAAACTCTAGGCAACTTCAGAAAATGCACGATGTACATTTTGTACATGTAATACGGAGGATGTAAAAAACAACAACATAGCACGGAGAAACCAAATTTGATTCTTCAAAATTGCGGCGAGAAAGTTGAGAGTTTTGTGAGCAGCGCACGTACCGGTCGGCGAGATTGGTTAACCCAATTTCTGATGTCAGATCACAGAAGTTCAGCATGGATCCCAGATTCAATTAAGCTGAAATTTCAACTGACTGAAGTAGGACACCATCTGAGTCCAGCAAATATTCCGAATGTACGTGTACATCAGCAATTTCATCAGAGATGCCAGTAGTTTGTTTGCTCCAGGGCCGGAACAATTTGCCATGTTCGCAGTGCACATACATCTCAATACCACACATGTGTTACGTATGTTGACAAAGAACGTGTATGTGTGTACATTAATGTCTTGCATGTCTAGCATGCTGACAACACGCAATGTGTAACCAATTTTCTTATTGGCTCATGAACAACCATCAAACAACCTGCCACACATTTTTCTGTTGACTGAAAGACGGCATGTAGCCTGTTTTTTATTTATTTTAATATTTTTTTTTACATATTTGTTTCTCCTTGCATGCAACACAATGTTTTATTTTCCGGCCTGTGATGATGATAATGTTGTTATTTCCGATCTCCAATGTCCGTCAGCCATTCAATGGCCTTTTCCTCAGATTGGTGGAGGACTGCAATGCCCCCATCCAGGTGGGTGAGCGGACAGTCCTCCACTATGTGGTGCATCTTTGAGGCTCACCGCAATCACAGAGTAGTGATGTGTCGCAGCCCCACCTGTATAGGCTGCAGCGGCATGGCCCAGCGTCAGTACGTGGTAGGTCCATTCCCGGGAGTTGGATGCTGGGATCGGTAACCAGGAACTTTAGTGGGACATCGATTTGGTCCCACCTCGTCCACCACAGTTGTTTGTACATGTAGGTGGTATTGCTGTCCAGGACGTTAGACCAGATTGGGTGCCTGGACTTTAGTCTTGGTCTTGAGTGGTGCTCGATGTCGTTGAGCAGTGGGAGTTCTGGGTTGGCTAGAATTCTCAGAACCAGTCGTGATGTGAGGGAATAGAATTCTGGTGGTTTTTTTTCAATGCGGCAATTCCGGCTAAGGCCGGAGGCACAATTGCAGAATACCCCGCCACTCAATCTATCCACCTTGTAGCCGGCTACGGAGTCACGGTTGATTGCCCTCCACTGCACTCCCACTCCGTATCCGCGTAGCCGCCAACAGGGTAGTTGGTTTGGACTTCAAAAAATTTCAGCAACTCCCATTCATCTTGTGTTGCTTCGTTCTCAATCATATTCAAGGGGACTCCCACTCCGTATCCGCGTAGCCGGCAACAGGGTGGTTGGTTTGGACCTACCTATTTCCGAGTGGCGGGGTATTCTGCAATTACTCCAGGCCGAAAAACTGGCATCCCTGTTTCACGTCTCTTCATCAAATCTTGAAAGTAAAACCTTTCTAACAAATGAGAGTATTGATCCAGGCTTGTAGGACAAACAAGTGCACAAGATGCGTCGGAAGTGCGTAACGAAAACAATATCATTCACCAGCAAATTGGTCCCATCAGGACTCATTGGCCCCAAACGAAAAGTTGTTATAGTTGATTCTTTTTCAAGGCACGCCTCCTTGCGATGACTTGCTCAAAACAGGTGCAGAGTGAATCCTATGAGTTGACAAAAAGTCTCTCGAGTTTAGACGATGAAGAAAACACCAAACTGGAGGGGGAAAAAATCCATCCATAGTCACGATGAAGGGAGGGACAGGAAGAAAACGAGCCTCTCACATGGCTCAAGTTTCATGGACAAGTGTGAAAAGCTGAGGAAATCTGATCCACGGACATTATGCTGCCATGAAGTGTCAGAGGGATTTCTGTCATGGCATACCTGAATAATACATTTACTGTTTACATTATGACACAACTAAGATCATATAGCCCACTTACATTGCAAAAAATGCACTCAAAACTCCACATTAAAATAAATGCCTTGGTACGGTATGTGTGTACATGTACATGTACATTCAATGAAAAGCTACCAGGCTTGGCGTACAAGATGATTAGAAACAGACCCCCCCCCCCCCCCCCCCCCCCCCCCCCCCCATTTAAAAAAAAAATGACATCATTCAACTATGAAAATGTCATTTTCATACAAAAAATGACAGTAAAGTTACTAACTACATGTACACAAAACATGACAGTAAAGTTACTAACTACATGTACATGATGTACATATACATGTAGATGTTCAAAGTACATGTATACACGTACCTATACATGTAGTTGAACATAAATTCACACTCGCAAAGTGCTAAATTGAAAATTATGCAATTGGGCGAAGACTAACGTGCATAATATGCACAGTTCAAATAGCTGGAGTGGTTTTAGTCTATAAAACCGGCTGTTCTGCTCATTTAAGCAATCTTATTGATCGAAACCGGCGGCTTCTGTAGCGAGAATGTAGCCAAGTTAAGTGCGCACCAAGGAATCCATTTGGCACATGAATTATGTTGTGGCAATTCAGCTGTAACCAATGTGTTCACTGTCTCGAGACCCTTGAATAATCTTGTTACCTGCAGTGAAAACATTCTTCCCGAGGATTGAAAAATTCAATAAATTCACTTTGAAAAATTACTTCCCTGCATATTTTTTCCCCCACAAAACTTGAGATTTTCTTCAATTTTTTTTTTCACGACTACTTTTCTACATGTAGGTAAGGGACCCTGACTAAGGGGCGGGGGGGGGGGGGGGGGGGGGGGGGGGCAAAGCAAACTTTAACCATCCTATGCAAACACGCATTCTGCTCAAACTTATTCTATTAAAGTTTCAGTCAAAATCAATCAAGTGACTGTTTGAACAGTTAAGAACTCCCAGCCTACGTAAGCAGGATTGACTGACTGTGACTGTTTTGTAATGTTACGCAGCTATGCTTTGACTGTACGTGATTGATAGATCAGTTGGGCATACCACTTGCCTGCTTTTGTCTGTTGACTGAATTTGACTAGTCACAGTGCTTGCCTCAAACATGATCTGACTGTTGGTGACTGGTCTTGGTAAAAGGCATGGCAGGGGAGAGATGGGCATGATGAGAGAGGATTGATTTTTTTTTGACTGTCTGTGACTGTTCAGACAGCAGGAGGGTTAGGTAAAGAGACAGAAAATCACATCAGTCAATCCCCTATATAATACACACTGCATCTCCATGAACTGTTCATAAGCATCCCGAGCGTTCTCTCACAAAAAAGAAAAGAAAAAAGACTGTCGCATTGTGCATACAATCAACTTTCGCTTCGTGCCCATCTTCAGTCAGGGATGAGATTGTCAATTTTTTTTTATCTGAAACTTGGATGAAAGGTCTGAAAGATGCATTTCTCTCTAAACTGTTATAATGTCTTTTCTCGGATTCAAAACATCTTGATTTCAGACAAAATCTGAAGAAAAAAAAATCTCATACCTGTTATGCACAATCAGACTATTTCTCAACGGCGTATCTATTTACTGGATGATATTTCCATTTTCTGTTCTCCCCCGACTTTCCACATCACATATGTCAAAGGCAAATGAAAAAAGATCCTTCCCCTCCCCCCCCCCCTTTTTTAATAAGGTCATTGGAATGAGTTACACAATAAGGTAAACCGAAAAAAAATATTACCCTCATTTGTAAATCTGGATCCCTCAAGCGTTTCAGGACAAAATGATGAATCAGGACAAAGACAAGGTCGGCACGAAATTGACATATGAGATCCCCCTGAAGATGTTTGGGTAGAAATCTCCCAAGATTGTTTATCATATATCGCAGTGAATGGAAACCATCCACGGATAGGATCTTCAAATCATTTAAGCAGACGACATCTCCTTGGGGCAGGTGTCGTGTGATCCAGGCTAATAAAGAGCTCTGAGGGTCTAGACAACAACGGGGTTCAGATGAATGGATCTGTGTTGGGCTGGGAAATTAGAATGGGCAACTGCTGCTGATATCGTGACAATGCTGGAACTCACAGCTGGCATTTGGTTATTGAGCAATTTCACAAAAGGAAAATTAGTAAACAAGATAAAAATATGTGTATTACATGTACATGTATAAAATCGACTGAACTCATTCAAAGACCAATCTTTTTAAAATAATTTAACCCTCCTGCTTCTATCTGAACAGTCATGGACAGTCAAAAAAATCTATCCTCTTCCCCTGCAATGCCTTTTTACACAGGTTAGTCATTAACAGGAAAAGTAACCACGAGGACAGTTTTTGTGGCCGTTAGCACCGGTGTCATAAGAAAATAAGACTCAAGTTGTGAAAATCGGACTCTTTACCCTTTTGTTGGTTAAACCCTCTCACACAACCGGTCACCTCCCAATTATCTTCGCTTAGGCATGCACCATACTACCAGTATTCATAGAAACCAACATCCGTGCTGCACTGGACTTAAAAATTGAAAAAGTAACCATCATCTTGGTGGGTTTAACCCAAAAAAGTCCAATGTGGACATGGCTTCAACCCTAACCACCCCAACTCCATCAAAATCCCATCACCCCATTTTGGTGGATTTGGGGGGACTTGGTCCAGGAGGCCTGGCGTGACTAAACATTGATGGAGTATGATGGACTTGGGCCTAATGGCCTGAAACAGTGCTAGGAGTATCCAATTGATTTTGCCTAGCTTCCTGTACTGCTATTGTGATAAAAGCCATGTGTAGCAAGTCCATGAATGTCGACCAGTGCGTCAGTGGTGGATTCCATTATGTCATACAGTTTTGTATTGGAAGCACAGTGATTGATGGATTTTGATGGACTTGGTCCAGTTCCTAGTAAAAGACGCTAGGGAGTTAGGGTTAAGCATTACTTCCAATAGGTTATCCAATGCAAGACAGAGAGTACTTACAATGTTTCTGGAGTCCACCCCCAGCGAGCCCAGTAGCTGCTTGCTGTTGCCTGACTTGGCCCACTGGTAGCCCAACGCATTGGTTCGCTCCAGATCCCTCAGGCAGTTCCACACATTGCTGTTGTCATTCTGTCGACTGTGTAGAAGGGAAGTGTACAACAGGGAGGCTTGGCATTAAAGGCAGGCATTTTTTAAATTTCATGTTAAAAAAAAGTGGCATGCACCGAATTCCTTAGAAGCCGTGGCAGCTGCTTTCAGGCAGGCATGTACATGTACTTCATGCGAATGCAAATGTGAAGCAATTTTGATGTCATGAAACATTCGCTACGAAATTCGCCGGAGTTGATATGTGTTAAAGGTAGGGTAAATCAACTGCCATTTGTGTATTTTTGTTGTTTGAAGCAACAAAAGTGCTCAAAATCTAAAGACAGGTGCTTAACAACTAACCTGATGAAATTTTAGCTCAGTGAATGCTGTATATTTTGAGAAAACAATATACTAGATCTCAATTTCAATTGAAAAGTTGCCGAGTCATGTTTTGAATTGCGCCCCGAAATCAGCATCCGGGACCTGTACCCATCCTCACCGCCACGCCTCAGTAATCATCCAGCCCTATAAATGCAGCCTCATCCATTCCATCCATCTTTCTCCTGAAGACGATCGGAGCACACTGATTGAAACGTCGAGTTTCACAACCAATCGGTTCTTTTCAGAACCGCACATCTTCTCAAAAGAGATTCGTCCACATGGAGTGACGGCAAACCCTCACTACGGTAGTTTACAATGTACACTACCGTCATGCAAAGTTTCAAATCTTACTTATAACTGATATCTGACAGAATTTTACAGATGTTGAGCAACCATCACAAGGGAGTTTGACAATAAATGCTCGCAAACAATGGCATAGATTTCTGATTCAATACTCCCCAGAAACAATTACAATGTCCTCTTCAGGACTTTCTACATGTACATGTATCCTCCTGTCTCACTTGAAAACAAATTTACAGCATGCACACAACATACAATCCTTGGATAAAATTGTGTTGATCACTGACTGAACATTGCATAGCCAGCGTGAAGAAACCGGGCAAAAGAATCAAGCAAACAGGGCAGAACTTGGGTTGTCATTCACAACACATATAGCATCGATACTTCTATAATGACACGGTGTATAGTTTCTAATGATGACCAGATGTTTACTGGTACGGGTTCAAGCAGGACACACAATGCGCCTGCAATCTGATTGTGCTCGCGTGCATATCAAGTCTCCCTCTTCGGTGAAAAACGGAGGAATCCGCACGTTGCCAGCCAATTACAGACCAAACTTGAAGATCTTAACTGGGCCCTTGATGACAACCTGACTCTGTGATTGATGTCAAAAATACATGGCAGCCCCTTAGAAATCAAATCTATCTCGAAATGAATTCCACAAGTGAAGGGTGGTTGGGCGAGAGAGAGAGAAGAGAGAAAAGAGAGAGTGCCTGATGAATAAGTCAGAATGATCACGGTGTGAGATTACCAGATTCAGTTTCACAATTCCTTGCCTGGGCTTTGTGAATGGACAGATCACAATGCCCGATATCACACCGGCACTCGCATACATTAATCAATGAGGTGATTTCATTGAGATAATATTGAGCCATGTACATAGTACACACTGCGCTTGCATATTTAGCAGTGCATCAGTATCGGTTTCGCTCTTAAAGGTTCCACGAAGTGAATCTTTCTTAGGAACATATTTTGTGCAACTTTCTAACTCCTCTTAAATGTATGAAAATTATTTGACATCCCTTTTTTGGTTACATTGATGAAAAAGTGCACTTCTTTTAAACATTAAAAATTGTCCATGCATTTCTGGACAACTGAAAGGCCTGTTGCTGTGATGTTATTTCAGGAAGATACGGTTCAGTTTAGGGGTTTGCTGTTCAAATTGTGAACCGAAAAGTTGCTCATTGAAATCATTGTGAGAAATGTTTGCTCATTGACGACAGTGAAATATCCAAAATTCTGGCAACTTTTAGTGCTGAAGTACCTGTAATATTGAGGTTTCTGCCTGAAATGACATCACATATTTGCTCATGAATATGGACATTTGGACAGGCATAAAAACCAACAAGTCAGGTGTGTTTACAAACACAAATGCCCCGCAACGGTGACAGTTCCCATGACATAACACCACTCTTTTAACATCAACTTACATGTACCTTGGTCACATGGAACATTCATTGACAGCATTAGTGTCTTCTGTAGGTTTTATTTGAATTAATCCCTAATCCCTATAATCTCAGAATAAATACATGATTTCTATTGTTTTAGCCACTGTGAACTTGACCCTTGACCTTTTGACCCCAAATTCAATAGGCTTCTTAGGATTACAAAGAACAATCCACAAACCAAATTTGAAGTTCATATGTTAAGTATTTCTCAAGTTATCGCGCTGACAAGATTTCTATTGTTTTAGCCACTGTGAACTTGACCCTTGACCTTTTGGCCCCAAATGCAATAGGCTTCTTAGGATTGCCAAGAACAATCCACAAACCAAATTTGAAGTTCACATGTAAAGTATTTCTCAAAATATCGCGCTGACAAGATTTCTATTGTTTTAGCCACTGTGAACTTGACCTTTGGCCTTTTGGCCCCAAATGCAAAAGGCTTCTTAGGATTACCAAGAACAATCCACAAACCAAATTTGAAGTTCATATGTTAAGTATTTCTCAAGTTATCGCGCTGACAAGATTTCTATTGTTTTAGCCACTGTGAACTTGACCTTTGGCCTTTTGGCCCCAAATGCAAAAGGCTTCTTAGGATTACCAAGAACAATCCACAAACTAAATTTGAAGTTCATATGTTAAGTATTTCTCAAGTTATCGCGCTGACAAGATTTGTCCGGACACACACACACACCCACCCACCCACACACCCACCCACACACCCACCCACGGAAGGACAAGGCGGAAACAGTATGCCCCTTCGGCTTCGCCGCGGGGCATAAAAAAGCATCAAAAACCCTTGAAAATGGCAAAACAAAAATTGAAAATCGAAACAAAGCCAGCAGACAACTTTCAGCAAGAGTGCATCTTTATGACCACGGCTTGGCATTTGCTTAATTTTTGGTAAAATATTTTTGGTCAATTTTCAACACGGACAGACAGACCAACTGACCGACCAACCACCAAGTGACATGCAGAAGCTCCTGCCAGAGCTTAAAAATAACATTACATGTTGGTACATGGGCCCTTTAAGAACATACATTTGTACATGTATGTTTGTAGGTCAACAATCAAGGAAAGAAAGGAACAAAATATAACTGGAGGTTTGGCATTGTTGTTTTTTTATGACAAACGCAGCGTGATGGGATGTGACAAGTCTATTTTGGGTGATGGGGATCAGCCCCCTCACAAGACGAGACACATTCACACTGTGGAGGACTTTGTTTGTCAAATACTGTTATACAATGGAAAGCTGGCTAAAGAAACACAAGTACCGGTATCTCAACTGCAAACACTTCAAGCACTGCATTTTAATGTTCATTACCAAGTACCCTAACTGCCTAAATCTGCAATACTTTGAGAAGTGGCTGAAAGCATATTCATGTTAACTGAATTGGTAGGGGAAAAAAATTAACATACAATGTACCCTCAAAATACGACCAGGGTCAATTTGACGAGCATTGCATGTATGATTAATGGAATGTTAATTTAGAATATCGTCTAGGGTTACATGTACATGCACAATGGCCACTTAATGATTTCAAGAAACTTGGGCTGTGTTCAATACATGTGCATTGTAAATTTCATGGCAAAACATCAAAAGTTAAATGCATCCTGGGGTCGTCAAAGCATTCATGTAATGTTTTTCAGGGTAAAGACATACACATACCGGTACAACAATGAAACAACCCTAAAATTAGAGACCTATTTATCTTTAACAAATTTATAAAATAAAGATACAAACTTATGTACATACCTGTACATGAAAATGTAAGGTTAAGGTAACTTTAAAAAGTAACATTTTAATTAGAAATTGAAAAACCGTCTGACATGTTGAAGGTACATACATGTATTAGCATATGCAGGTAACCAAAAGAAATAAATTTTAAGCAAGTGGTATTTTTGTATCGATTTCCAACACTGGTCGGCCGACCAGCGTTGAAAAAAACACTGGCTTTTTTCAAACACTAACCCCAATTTACCATATTTAGTTAGTCTGCATTTTGTTTGCAATCGATTACACACTATGAATGGGTACAAACCAGCTAGACTGGTTCCCTGACCTTCCAATTCCCCAACGTCTATAAATTCCTCTGTTTCATCTTAAGTGGGGTCGGGGAAACCAGACTACAGGAACATGATTGATTTTCTTGGTTTTTCCAGCATCTACGAACACAAAACTTCAAACAAGTCAGTGTAACAATTTTTGCTATAAAATACTAACCCCCCCAAATCCATCCATTTCTGAAGATTACAGCAATTTAACAAATGTTGTACATAGATATGTTCCTTTAAAACTTTAATATAGGTTTTCCCAGCCAATTTCCTAAAATGTTCATTCACTTCTGAAAATCGGTCATTCATTTTCATCTGAATTTGAGAACATCTGAACACGCGTTTCATTTTCGCTACAAGAGCATTCCATTCTATTGAAATGGGATTAAAAGATGTGCATTCATATTCAGACGAAAATGAATGACTGATTTTCAGAAGTGAATGAACATTTCAGGAAATTGCCGGGAAAACCTATACCACTAGATACCAGACTGACTCACCGTACCTCATGCTAGTACTGGATTGCTCTCAGTAAATGAAGAACCACTCACTCTCAAATCTTTCTGCTCATCCCATCTACATGGAGTTGTATCTCTTCTCTTTCTGAGCACTCTTCTTTTTTTGAGCAGAGGAAGGAGGTTGGTTGCTCTTCTCAAGGACTTCCCGCCTCTTCATCTCCCAACTCCCCTATCTCATTGCGTCCATTCATGTCTTCCTCATCCCAATCACTCATCCTTTTATTATCACATTGGCATGCGTGACTTCGTCCCTACCCTCTCCGTTTCTCTACCCCTTCGCACCTCGGCTGGTCGGATCAATTCCCTACGCTTAACTCTCCTCTCTCCGCCTCCCCCCTCCTCCCTTGGGACTC